AAAGGGAAAGGGGAAACTTCTTTGGTTGCCTCTTTACGTGAATACATGTGGTTGGAATGGTCTTAAATGTGTAAATGCAGGCACATAAATCCTTCACCTCCGTGCCAGAATTTCCAATACAAATACCTCCCAGTTCTTTTATTGCCATTTCAATGAAAGAGACTGGAGTCAGTTTTAATTTGCATAAGATCAAAGTCTAATGTATTCCTGGTCACATGCAACACAGTCTAATTTGCCACATGCTAATACTGTGGACAGGTCAGTCTCTACCCACGTCAATTTGTTGAATTGTATTACAAAAGTGTTATTTGTAGCTAATTACAACAAACCTACTGATAGTAGAAGACCTTGAAGATACTACAGTGCTCTTGTCTCGGCTCCAAGAAAATTATGTTAATGAAAACAATGTTAACATGGAAATGATTGAAGATCACAAACTGTTATCCAGTCAACAACTGTGTGAATAAAAAAAAATGTCTGAAACGCCATAAGACTTCATAAACAAAATGGCATCACACAAACCAAACGGTGTATGGCTAGGATCAGTTTATACACTGTTAATGACCAGTGAATGACAAATGTATGTTTAGAACAAGTGATCCCAAAGGAACCAATTCTGGCAATATAATAAACTAGTTCAACTTAATGTTATGCACATTACAGTATTTTGTTAATCGTTGAAGGATTTAACATTACAAAAAAAAAAAAAGAAGAAGAAATGACTGTCCTTTTTCCTACTGAATCGGCTGGTCAAGCACAACATTTCCAGTTAACAGCAGCTTGGTTTTTCCCAGTATAAGGTGACTTTATTACAGTGGACCACAATACAAGATCAGACTAACCACCTTGGGGGGGGTTTTCCCAGCAGAAACTCACTTCAGTGTTATTAGTTAAACTTTTTCAAGCCATGTTTATATTACATCCTTGTTTTCGGGAATCTAAGTCCAATACAAAAATAAACAGAACCGTTCACCAGTTAGTCAGTAAAATGTCACTTATGAAGCACTTTCCACAGAAAAGCTCAGCAAGTGCTTCATAAAGTAGGAGCATAAAACGAAGTAAACAAGGAAATAAATCATTTTAACGATACAGATAATGAAAAACATATTAAATGTTTAACACGTTTTTATAAGTATGTCTTCAGCTACTTTGTGAATGAGTCAAGACTACCAAGATGTCAAAACAAAGAAAAATAGTCATATTAGAACCAGACTTTTTAGACAATGAATTTATAACTCTAAATATTGATCCTGGGCAATTATGTATGTTATTTTTTTTTTCTTTTAGATTT